CCACGTATAAAAAAAGAAAAAATGCATAAAGACGACTTATGCGCCAACCGCTCGACAAGTGCGCGTTACGTCAGTTATAGGTTCTGGTAGCGGTCTAAACGGTCCTTTTCAGGGCCCCCATATTTTGCAAACGGAGCTGTGTTTTTAATGCGGCACCCCGTGTCTCTGTAAAAAGTTCACAGGAAAGACCCAGCAAAGGTATGTGGTCCCCAACTTGGATATCGGGTGTTATGATTCAAATAAAAATTGTTCTTGCTTATTTCGCGCCTGTGATCAAAATAAATGCCGCAGTTGCAGTCGTCCCGCGGTGCTGTTGCTCGCCCATTGCCTCAGCTTCGTCGTCTTTGCTAGCGGCGCACCGGCGAAGCCGGCCTTTGATCCGAATAAATGCCGCCGTTGCAGTCGTCCCGCAATGTTGTTGCTTGCTCGATCGCCGTCGGCGTGTCTCAGCTTCGTCGTCTTTGCTAGCGGCGCACCGGCGGAGGCGGTTGATCTGACACGCCGCGTTCGGCTTTGGCTAGCAGACGGCGTTCGTAAAATGGCGTCAGCTGTTGCTAGCTTCACGCGACGGTAGCCTCTGTAGCGGTACTATGCGTGCTTCTATTCATTCGGCGTTCGTTGCCATGGTGACGGCGAGGAAAGCAGACGAACTTTTTGATGCGGAAGAACGCTGCGGCGCAGCGATACCAGGTGCGTTCTAAGGCCCTTCCCGCATGCTTTTCAATGGGCGGAAGGCGAACAAAAAGAGTTCGAAATAAGGACTTAACGCAGAAGGCTGCATTTCTCCAGCGCCTCATAATTTGACGAGCCTTGCACGAAAAGCATGTTTTTAGACCGGAGTTTGGAGATAGTTTTTTTTACAACAACATGGGTCTAAAGTATCAATGTGCCAACTTTTCCACTAACTAAAAAAAATTGGGGTGTGTGTGTCGTTATACAGCCTATAGAGCTTGGTCTGCTTCAACGGGCGACTTGTCTCCCAGTTGTATAGGCAAGAAATTTAGCTAATGCAGTACAACCTAGTCTCGGGTCTTCAACGTGCACCACGCAGTAGTGATACATGACCGCACGCCGGTACATGCTCATTCAGATCGAAATGGGCAGAGAAGAGGTGCAGAACCCAGGATCCCTGGGTTCTGCAGCGCGAGCTTTCGCTCCACGTGCTCCGAGCTGGTGTGCGCTAGCCCACTCGGCCACCGATCCTTTTCTTTTTTTTTTCTTTATTGCCAGACACTATTCATTTACAAAAAACACAGAAAAATTATAAAAAAGGGCAAGCTGAATTACGGCAGACGGATTAACAGGATCTTAATGTGACCAGACCGTCTAGGATTGACAACCAATCAGGCCCACCTCCCAAAACCTTGTACACTTCTCTAATCTGACTAATGCTGAGAAAAATAGTGACACACTGGTCGAGCATCTACATCAGCATGCCGCAACATGCGGCTTTTCCTGATACTGTGTAAACCAATAACCATAAGTAAATCAGACGCTACAGAGTCGGTTGGGGCAACAGGCAGGGAACGTATCCCATGTGAGCTTAAAAAGGGGTCATGAAACGATTTTCCTACTTCTTCCTCCATAGCTTTAATCCTCAGCTCAAATGCGAACTGTAAAATCACGTGGTCGTGACATTCCTTCGGCACCGGTGCGATAATCCTAGCTTCCACGGTGCTTTTTATGCACACCATAGAACTTGTCATTCCCCAGTGACAATAAGTTCCGTCAGGGCACTCATTGGCCACGAACGCGAATCCAAATATTCGTCGACGGATTGATTGTTGACGAGCGCATACGTCCGAGTGACGCAGTTCTCGTGTCCAATGCGTGAGCTGGGCTCTGATGACGTCAGTTTGGCGCCGGTGACGCGCTTTTGGAACCGCAGATGTATCATAGTGAAAAGGCGGAGAGCTTTCGAAGGCAAGAAGGTACAAAATAGTCCGCTATATTTTCAAATGTTCGTATTGAAAAGCTGACTTTTGACTTTCTAGCCTCTTTCTTTTGGCCAACTAAACGATATGCGATTAGTAAAGTCCCAATTTAAAATCATTCATCCCAACCCAAAATTCGTTTCATGGCCCCTTTAAAGGCAGTTCCTTTTTCAGAGTTCGCTGCATTGCATCCCAGTAGAACACCGCGTCCCAACAATCTAAAAACACATGCTCTATCAACTCGGGCCTTTTGCACAAGATACAGTTCACATTCCAGAGAACAAACAAAAACAAGTTCGGCTCCTTGCGGAGCATTACTGATTTCCCCCTTTATGTGGATAATTGAGGTGCATGTATGTATTAGATATATGTTATCTTATCAAGACGTGCGCGTTCAAAACGCCAAAAACATCGCGTTTTCCATCAATGACCACATCTCTTAAGAACTACTTTGCGCTGCGTATGAACAATGAGCAAAAATATTTTTTCTTGAGGTGAAGTACGTTAAAAGTTTAAATTAACAATAACTCTTTCTTCCGCATTGTTTTCTGTGATCGGATTGGCTCATTCATCGGTCGCATCATCCTATCAAGGCGCTTGACCGAAGCAATAATTTAGACAATCACCCTGGCTTTTGCTTCCTATGCCAGCTTTCTATAGAAGCTTACCAGCTAAAAGTTAACAATATCACAATCAGTGACAAAAAACAAATCGCCGAAGAATTTAACCTATATTTTCAATCTGTGTTCTCATGTACAGATATGTACACTCCAGTTGCCACCGCTGTAGCTACACTGAACGTCGATTTTATCTCCTTTCGTGGTGTCTTTGTCATGTTATTAAATCTGAATACAAAATCGAGCAGTGGGCCTGATAAGATACCGAACGCTTCTCCGTAGATATGCCGAATCTATTTCACGCTTTTTAACAGTCATTTTTCGTGCTTCTTTTCGTTCAAGTGTGCTTCCGAATGACTGGCGAACAGCGCGTGTAGTGCCAATTCATAAGAAGGATGATCATTCTGTTGTAAGCAATTTTCGTCCTATTTCTATCACTAGCAACTCATGCAAACCTATGGAACATATGGTTAGTAGCTATATTCGAAATTTCTCGGAAGAGAAGAGTTTTCTGACTTCTTTTCAACATGGTTTCCGGAGGGGGTACTCCACAATTACGCAACTAGTTACCACAGTCCATGACTTTGCTGCTACCCTAGACAAGTCTGGACAGGTCGATATTATTTTTTTAGATTTTTGTAAAGCATTCGATAAGGTCCCTCATGGTAAACTTATTTTTAAACTAGAGCGTCTTGGGCTACCACCAGAAATAGTTAACTGGATAGGATCCTATTTGTTCAATCGTAGCCAGTTTGTTGAAGTTGGTGGCCATTTTTCCGGTACCCTCGATGTTTCTTCTGGTGTTCCCCAGGGTAGTGTAATAGGTCCCCTGCTATTTCTGGTCTATATAAATGACATTGTATCAACTGTGAGTACTAATGTTAATATCCGCTTATTTGCAGATGATTGTGTTTTGTTTAAAACCATATCCTCTGTTGGTGACCAAAAAACGCTTAATTCTTCTCTTTCTCTAGTCGACGATTGGTGTAACGAATGGGAAATGCAACTGAATTCCGCGAAGACTGTTCACTTACGCATGACGAGGAAAATTAAACCTTTGAAATTCACATATCAAGTAAATAATGTTGCAGTAACCGAAGTAAGTGAATACAAATATCTTGGAGTAACCCTAACAAGCGATCTACGATGGTCAAAGCATATGGCTATTGAACTGATATGAATTTAATGAATCTGTACTTAATATGTATGATGTATTATATATGTACTATGTATTATATGTGTATGGTGTATTATATCTGTATGGTGTATTGCATATGGATGTTGTTGCTCGCCGCATGCCAAGAGGGGGTTAAGGCCTCGTCAGGCACTTTGTGCCTTTAGCCTTAAACCCCCTCTGCGGAACATGTATCCGCAGACACAAATAAAGAAAAAAAAAAAATATCCAAAACATCAGTTCCTCGGCTTTTCGAAAATTAGGTTTCCTACGACGCAAGTTAAAAAATGCTCCAACCTCCGTTAAACTCCAAGCTTATAACTCCTTGGTAAGGTCAAAAATAGAATATGCTAATATAATCTGGGATCCAAACACGAAAAAAGATGCATCAAAACTTGAGATGGTCCAAAGGAGAGCAGTTCGTTTTATTTATGGAATGTACAAGAGACTTGACTCCCCATCCTCCTTAATAGCGGCAAACAATATCACGTCCCTGGAACTGCGTAGGAAAATTGCAAGACTGAAGTTCTTGTATTTACTTTATAACAACAAGCTGTGCGTCGACTTAAGTTTATATATAACCTTGTTACGATGCGATGTTATCGCTTATCGCTGTCGCGGCCGCAGCAGAACTGCTGAGTCAGGGGGGCGTACATCTGGTGCTTGCTGCCGATATAAGCGGCATCGCCGGCAAGCTTTGCGCTCTTTTGGTTCCGGCTGCCGAACAATAAACGCTGCCAAATAAACGTCGGTCTCCGGATTCGTCGATTCTCCCGGAGAAACGTAACAGCTGGTGGCAGCGGTGGGATGGATCGACGACGCCGGGTTTCATGGGTGCTGTCGGTGAGTGCCTGAGGCTTCCTTTCCGTTCACCGAGCAGCTTAAGTGTTTAAGGCAGTTAGTTCTGTGGTGTCGCCAAACGGTTGATACGGGCGCTGGGCAAAAGTAGCCAAACTTTTTTGGAAATTTCTGAACATGGATCCGATAAATCTCGCGGCGATTGTGAAGCCCGATTTAATGCTCTTAGCGGAAGAGCTGGGTGTTAAAGTGGTCAAGGCCATGAGAAAGCCCGAGATTATCAAGGCCATTGAAGATTGTGGCGCGGGCGCCGACGAAATTTCCGAGTGTTGGAGCGAGGTGCAGAGGAGACGAAGGGAAGCGGAACTTCGCGCCGCCCAACGTGCCGCTCAAGAGGAGCTTCACGCGGCTCAAGAGGGGCTTCGCGTTGCTCGAGAAAAACTTGAGCTAGAAATGCTTCAACGTAACTTTGACGCTGGTGAGGCCATTGTGGTGGATAACAGCTCGAAAAAGTTTGACATGCGAGCCCTTTTGCAACCTTTTCGCGTCGGCGGAGACATGGGTCTCTATTTAGTAAATTTCGAACGGGTTTGCGATAAGATGGGTCTTGTAGAGTCGAGCTGGCCTCAAAGGCTCTTGAGTTTACTGCCAGCGGAGGTGGCCGACGTTTTGGCCCGACTAGATCCTACAGCAGCCGATGACTACGCGTCCGTAAAGTCTTGCCTGCTTAGGAAGTTCAGGTTGTCGCCTGAAGCTTTTCGACAGAAATTTCGAGAGACGAGGAAAGGACCGGACGAAAGTTACGCGGAGTTCGCTTATAAGCTTAAAGGCTTTCTGGAAAGTTGGCTCCGTGGTGTCAACTCTTACGAGGATCGTGAAAAGGTGCTGGAGCAGATAGCACTAGAGCAGTTTCTCTCCTGTATTCCGACAGGTCTAAAGGAGTGGATTCAGGATAGACCGGAAGTAGAAACGGTGCAGAAAGCTGCAGATTACGCGGATGAGTACTGCTCTAGGCACGGGAGGAAAGTTGTTGAAGAAAACCGTAGCTCAAACAGTTTCTACGAACGATGCGGACCTCGCACGTTCGTGAAGAAAGGCGCCGAAAAGGGCAAAGAGAGTGAAGTACCGACAAAGGGAGTGTCGGATTCAGACGAAAAGAAACGTAAAATGAAGGCGTTCGAGGAGCGTAAACCAATAGTGTGCTACAGGTGTAAACAGCCTGGTCATGTCGCTTCTGGTTGCCGCGTCCCTAAAGTTGCTCCCGTTAACTTGTGTCTGGGAGAAGCGGAGGACCTACTCAGGCCGTATCTGTACGACATGAAAGTAAATGGTAAATTCTGCAAAGGTTTACGAGATACCGGCGCCACGTATGATCTGGTACACTCGTCGCTAGTGGAGCAAGAACATTTTACAGGCGACTGTGTGTGGATCCGTCAGGCCTTGGAAAATCGGGCAGTTAGTCTGCCCGTAGCTAAGGTAAAACTAAACGGACCTTTCGGAGTAGTCGAAACGGAAGCAGCTGTTTCTGACGGAGTGCTTCCAAACTGTTCGTACATACTGTCAAACAGAACTGCAAGGCAATTGAGCGAGTCGGGTATACCGCTTGACATGAATCCTGTTCTAGTCGTCACGCGCTCAATGACAACTAGTGCAGTGCCGGAAACATTTCAGACGGAAGCGAGCGCGACGACTGGTAAAACCAGCAGCGGGCCCGATGAAGAGCCGAACGAAGGAGCTGACATGACCACGCTGGTTTCGCCGGAGAGCAGCAATTTTCGTGCGCTAGCCGGTGTAGATAAGCTTACGCTTATCGCCGAACAGTCATCAGACCCGAGTCTTTCAAAGTGTCGTGATAGCGTGGGAAAAGAAATCAAGCCGAACATCTCCTTCTTTATGAGCAACGGCATTCTTTACCGTAGTTTCAAGGACAAATCGGGGAACGAGGTAGATCAGATTGTCGTTCCATCCAAGTATAGAATTGCATTACTCGAGCTTGCTCACGGAGAAGGGTGGTCGGGACACCTAGGAATCACAAAGACCAAGTGCAGGCTTTTGGCAAAATATTATTGGCCGGGCTGCTTTAAGGAGGCTGAGCAATTCGTCCGTTCTTGCGACACCTGCCAAAGAACAGGACGACCAAACGAGCGCCGAAAGGCGCCTCTCACACTAGTGCCCCTAATCACGGAACCTTTCAAAAGGCTAGTGATAGACGTCGTAGGACCCCTACCTACAACTAAGACGGGTTTTAGGTACCTTCTAACGATATTATGCCCAGCCAGCATGTTCCCAGAAGCCGTTCCAATGAAAGAGCAGACATCGGTCGAAGTAGTAGATAACTTGCTCTCGGTCTTTTCTCGGATCGGGTTTCCTAGTGAAATTCAATGTGATCTGGGTAGCGTTTTTACCAGTGCTCTAACAACCAGCTTTTTCGAGAGGTGTGGCATTAAGATTGTTCACAGTTCTGTAAGCCACCCGCAAAGTAACAGCGTAGAGAGAGCGCACTCGGTAATGAAGCGCATTCTCAGGGCCCTTTGTCACGAACAGAAAAAAGAGTGGGACTTGGCATTGCCCGCTATGCTTTTCGCGTTGCGAACCGTTGCTCACGAGTCAACTGGTTTCACGCCAGCGGAACTGGTCTATGGACGTAATTTGCGTTCACCTTTGCGGTTGCTGCGCGAGGGCTGGGAGGGTGAAGCCGAGAACCCAACAGTGGTGGAGTATGTGCTTTCCTTACTAAACCGTCTCCACGAAACTCGTGAGCTAGTTGAGGCTAACCTGGGAAAAGCGCAGTCGCGAGGTAAAACCTACTATGACAAAAACAGCCGCCTCCGAACGTTTAAGGTGGGTGACCAAGTCCTACTTTTGAGGTCTTCTAAGGCTCATAAGTTGGAATTGCAATGGGAAGGACCAGCAACGGTCCAGCAGAGGCTATCCGAGACAAATTACGTGGTAAAACTGCCAGGTCGCAGAAAAGAGGTCCGCATATACCATTGCAACCTCATGAAGCCGTACGTGGAAAGGGTGCAAGTAGTCAGCATTGCACTAAACCAACCAGAGGAAGTTCCTACACGAATTCCTGAGCTGGGAAAAACCGACGGGATCCTGACAATCGCCGAAGTCGTAGAGGCCGCAGTCGATAAGACGCTCACCCAAAACCAGTTTTCGGATCTTACGGCATTAATTGGCAAATACCAAAAATTGTTTTCAACTATTCCCGGAAGAACGAGTCTAGTCGAACATGACATCGAAGTGAGGACTCGGTCAAATATTCAGTGTAAGGCCTATCGCTTTTCCCCCCGCCAAGAAAAGCTATTAAAGGAGTCCGTAGATCAAATGCTAGAGCTAGGGTTGATTGAGCGGTGCGAGAGCGACTTCGTGTTTCCTATGATTCTGGTAGAGACTCCAGGAAAAGAACCTCGTCCCTGTGTGGACTACCGAAAGTTAAACGCGGTAACGGTAACAAGTCTACCCAATCCCTAATATCGAAACTTGCCTTGAGAAAGTAAGCAAAGCCAAGTTCATCTCAACCATCGACCTCGTTAGAGGTTACTGGCAAGTGCCACTTACCGCGAACGCCAGTAACCTTGCCGCCTTCATGACCCCGTTTGGTGTTTTTTAAGCCGCTTGTCCTGAGCGTTGGACTGAAAAACGCACCCTATGCGTTTTCGAGACTGATAAATCTGGTACTGGTCGGAACCGAGTCTTTTGCGTTGCCGTACCTAGACGACGTCGCTATATTTTCGGACACGTGGAGAGAGCACGTTCAGCACCTAGAACAGGTGTTCTCGCGCCTGCAAGACGCAGGACTTACAGTCAAGGCGAAAAAGTGTAAGTTTGGCCGAGGCGAAGTATCGTATCTCGGACACGTAGTCGGTCAAAGAATGAGACGTCCACAAGAACTCAAGGTTCAGGCCATTAAAGAGTTTCCCTTGCCACAAACAAAAAAAGATTTGATGTCCTTTATCGGACTGGTGAATTACTACCACCAGTATATTCCCCATCTCTGAAAAGGCGAGTCCCCTGACGGATGCGCTCAAGAAAACTGAGCCCACTAAGATCAAATGGGACGATCGCAAGATACATGCGTTTGAGGCTCTTAAGTTAGCCTTGGCGACTCAGCCCGTATTAGTCAGCCCTGACTACACAAGACCCTTCTTAGTGCAGTGCGACGCCAGCGAAAAAGGACTCGGCGTCGTTCTAAGCCAAGAAAATGAAGGGGAAGAGCACCCCGTTTTGTTTGCCAGCAGGAAGCTAACTTCAAGGGAGCAAGCCTACAGTACCATCGAAAAAGAATGCGCTTGTCTCGTATGGGCTGTAGAAAAGCTTCGCTGCTATCTCTATGGTTCGGAGTTTATTTTAATTACAGATCATAGACCGCTCACATGGCTTCAGCAGCTGTCCCCCAAAAACGGTCGCTTGTTACGCTGGAGCTTGACCCTCCAGGAATATTCTTTCTTGGTTCGACATAAAAAAGGAAAGCTTCATGCGAACGCAGATTGTCTGAGCCGAGCGCTCTAACCGGCGCACAGTGCAATTTTCTGTTTCTTTTTGTCTCAGCTGCACATTTGTTAATAGTTCCATTCAATTTCATTCATTAGCTGTCTATTCCCGAAAGATCGGGAACGATATTCAAAAAATTCTGGCTGCGTTTGGGGCATATTTTGTAAGCTATTTCTTTTGAATAATTCGTGCTCTCGGTGAGTGGAAAGGGCGTTTCGGGTGCCTCCGCAGTTTCTGTGGTGCTTGGTTGTTGTTGGCCCTTCTCATTCCCCTCAGAAGCACGACGGACCTCTGTTGTCATCCCGACGTCCTGGCACCGACGGCACGTGACAGCCGCTGCTACTCCTGGGCCGCTGGCGACTTTGGCTCATGGTCGCAAGGATCGCCATCACCGCTCCTTCCTGCTCCTCTCGGACCGCACAGTCGACGCTTCCGACCAGTCAAGGACACTGAAAACTGCAGTGACGGTGTTGGGCCGCGCGTCGACGCTTCCGGCCAGTTTCGCAGACGGTGTTGGGCCCTGCGTCTCCAGGACTTCCCGCCCTTCGGATCAGCGCAAGCTGAACCTGTATTCGCTGCGAAGGTTTCTTCGAGCAACGACTGTAAAGTTCTGCGCAAGAAGCACTAGGATTACGCCGTTCGTTTGTCTGTCGAACATTCCCAAGGACATGCTTGAAACCTGGAGAGTCGCGGGAAAATTGTTTTATGCGGTTTCGCCCTAAAAGGGGGAGGAGTTGTTACGATGCGATGTTATCGCTTATCGCTGTCGCGGCCGCAGCAGAACTGCTGAGTCAGGGGGGCGTACCTCTGGTGCTTGCTGCCGATATAAGCGGCATCGCCGGCAAGCTTTGCGCTCTTTTGGTTCCGGCTGCCGAACAATAAACGCTGCCAAATAAACGTCGGTCTCCGGATTCGTCGATTCTCCCGGAGAAACGTAACAACCTCCTTATCTTCCAGAGCCACTATGAACCACCATCAGTTTTCTCTTCAACCAATATTTGCTCGAACCAACATTTTTAAGTTTTCATATATTCCACGCACCATATCAGATTGGAACGCCCTCCCTTGCAATGTATTCATAGCCCCTAATTTTAATAAAGCACTTGATCCTTTTTAGGTATTGCCATTGTGCTCTAGTGTTGTGAACCTTTTTGAACATATGTTGACTAACTTTTTTCCACGTTGATTGTTAGTTATGAGAGTGTTAGTTACTAAACATTATGAAAGCCATGTGTAATGATGGTTTACAAGTCTTTTGTACCCCACAGCTGCAAGGGCCTATCAAAAGGCCTGCAGTATGTAATAAATAAAATAAAATAAATAAAACATGTAGCTGTGCATGGGCGCCGCCATAAATGACCTTCAGTTTTTTGTTTCCTTTCGCTTCACTTCATAATTACTTCAGCAGGACAGATTATTGACACTTTAGGTGCTACTGCGTCCTTCTCCCCAGGCCTTTGCGGAGGCTTGTCAACGTCCGCTTCATTGGCTCGGCATCGCGGTAAGACAAGAGAAGGTCGGCAATGGCGGCTCAATCTGGCGCGTGTTTAAAGCGTCTATACTCCGCTTACCCTTAAGCTGAGACTAGAAGCTCCGCCTTCAGCACGAGCCTTCTGCCCTCGCCAACTCAAGTGTGAGCGCGCGATCGAAGCACTGCGGAAGTCAGCGAGCTCGCGCTGAAGGCGGAGCTTCCAGTCTCAGCTGAAGGGTGAACGGAGTACAGCCAGATGAAACGGTAAAACTGCCTGCAGTAGAGCACTGCACGGGCCGGAATTTCTAGGCCCGGCCCGGTTGAGGCACGGCCCGGCCCGGAAGAGACGCTGCCAGGGCCCGGCCCGGGCCCGGCAGAATTTTTAGACAGTAGCTTGAGCCCGGCCCGAGCCAGACAAAATCTTTTAAATATAAGCCTGAGCCCTGCCTGAGCCCGACAGATTATATAAATGAGCCCCGAAAAAGTTTGCAGGCTTTAACCTAAAAACTGTCTAAGCATAAAGCGAGCATATTTGATTTAAATTTCTTTCACACTGAAACCGAGCTTCTTTTTTTTTTTTTTTTTGACACAATGGATATTTCAACTTACACGATCAATTTTCGAGAATATGCGCGAAATATGCACGCCATAAGTGATTTTTAGAAGAAAGAAAAAAGTGGGCAATATTGTATTTATGTATTTCTTGAAGAGATATATATATATATACTGTATTGGACTTTTGTTGTTCAATTAGTTTCACGGAGAAAATTCCTATCTACATGTTTTTGTGAAGAAGCAATCGCATCCACGCCAGTACATCATCAAAAGGCTGTATCTTTAGTGGCATAGTCAGGCCCCCTGCGCAAAGTAAAGCTCACGTTTTTACTTCTTTCTTTTCTCCTTTTTTTTTTTTCCTTTGCTTTAAAAGCAGTGAGAAAAAACACTCATATTTTACCCTGCGACTGGAGTGCCTTGGTTTTCTCGACCGCACTTTCCCACTGTGCTGGTGGAATCTATACGTTTCCTTTTATCCACGTGAAAACTTTTCAAGTGCAAAATGTCGTTTTTTTTTCTTTCTTTTTTGAACGGCGTTGCAGTGCTTTTGCATTTCCCTTGTTTGTTCTCATTGAACCTAAAAGATCAGTGAGCACACTCCTTGTTATCGACAGTCTAGAATTTGCGGCACACGACTGCCCAACCACGGCCTGAAAGGCTGTGTTCAAGCCCGAGCCCGGCCCGGGCCCAAGAAAATGCTTACTACCTGGTCCAAGTCCGGTCCGCGGGCCGGGACGGGTTCGGGCCTTCGTTCTGACCCGAGCCCGTGCAGTGCTCTAGCCTGCAGCACGCGTTCTTGCCACTTCAAGATAGAAAAAGAATAGAACCCCATTTCTTTCTGCCATTTGCAGTGCCAAGAAGCCCGGATGATAGTAACTGATAGAATGGAGAACGACATGGAGTCTCTTTCGGATGTCCGAGCTCCAGCACGCACTCGTTGCCTTCCGCCGTGCTTTAGTATGCGCGTGCACGCTCGAAGCTCAGGAGACGCCGAAGCGTCATCGAAGGTGGAAAGCCCGGCCTTGAAGCAGGACAACTGTAAGACCTTCCTTGCGTTCTCATCTTCACGTGTGCTGCACGCTGCCGCAGAGGAAACATGCGTCAGCTGTTGAACGTTGCTTGTGCTGCCTCGAAAGGCACCCGCTACAACCGCTTCAACGGGAATATTGACCAAAGAGTACGGCGACTGCGATGACCCGATGGATAGTGATGGCATTGGCCCCGGATCAAGTGGTTGGCAGCACAATAGGAGATAGGGATCACAACCCCGTCCTCCACTTCTGGTCTCTTCGATTCTGCTTCTCGTGACACAAAGCCATACATGGTTAAATTACTTTCAGAATGTAATTTAATTACAATTACAATTACTTTGCTTCAAAAATAGTTTAACTACAGTTACAATTACTACTACGTGAAAGTACTTATTTACAATCACGAAGTACTTTTAAAAAGTAATTCAATTACTTTACAATTACTTATTTCTAAGAGTGACCCGACTTGGGCCATGTAACTTTAAACCAGTTGTATAGTAGAAGGGAACGTATTTGTTCATTCCTTGCCCCAAAAGTTTGAGGAGGCGTAAGCATCGCTGCATAAATGCCACGTATTGTACTCTCCTTTTGTGAATTTTGTTAAATTCATGATAGAACTTGACAGCTTAAGGCAATGAAGTTCTACGTTTCTTATATTTTCTTTTTATAAATAAAAATAAATTAGTTCATATGCTGGAAGACGCCAGATCGCTAAAGAAAAAAATTGGCCTGACAGAGTTTTGTCAGCCTGGGAAATGAAAATGCGACAATGAGTCATATATAAATATTTTGCAAGTGTTACTGTAAAACTAAAATCCACACGCGCTAATACGACCTCATTCACATGCAAACTTCATGGTATTGTAAATTATTTACATTGAGTTGAAATTATAATTGCTCAGGAATATATAAGAACCGATCCGGGGCTCCCGAATCATTAGTAACAATATTCACAGCTGCGAGGTCAGTCTCCAAGATTCTTATGCAAAAAATATACGAAGTAAAGTCAACAGAAAATAAAATTGAAAATAATACAAAGATACAATTATGCGACAGTACTGGAAAAGAAACATCAAGA